TATATTACAAGCTGCTTTATATTACAACCTGTCAGTACGTGTTGTAATCTGATGGGTTATATTACAAGCTGCTTTATATTACAACCTGTCAGTACGTGTTGTAATCTGATGGGTTACAACAAGCTGCTTGATGCTACAACCTGTCAGTATGTGTTGTAATCTGATGGGTTACAACAAGCTGCTTTATACTACAACCTGTCAGTACATGTCGTAATCTGATGGGTTACAACAAGCTGCTTTATATTACAACCTGTCAGTACGTGTTGTAATCTAATGGGTTATATTACAAGCTGCTTTATATTACAACCTGTCAGTACGTGTTGTAATCTGATGGGTTATATTACAAGCTGCTTTATATTACAACCTGTCAGTACGTGTTGTAATCTAATGGGTTATATTACAAGCTGCTTTATATTACAACCTGTCAGTACGTGTTGTAATCTGATGAGTTATATTACAAGCTGCTTTATATTACAACCTGTCAGTACGTGTTGTAATCTGATGGGTTACATTACAAGCTGCTTGATGCTACAACCTGTCAGTATGTGTTGTAATCTGATGAGTTCTATTACAAGCTGCTTGATGCTACAACCTGTCAGTATGTGTTGTAATCTGATGAGTTCTATTACAAGCTGCTTGATGCTACAACCTGTCAGTATGTGTTGTAATCTGATGAGTTATATTACAACCTGTCAGTATGTGTCATAATCTGATGGGTTACAACAAGCTGCTTTATATTACAACCAGTAAATACATGTTGTAATCTGATGAGTTACATTACAAGCTGCTTGATACTACAACCTGTCAGTACATGTTGTAATCTGATGGGTTACATTACAAGCTGCTTTATATTACAACCTGTCAGTACGTGTTGTAATCTGATGGGTTACATTACAAGCTGCTTTATATTACAACCTGTCAGTACATGTCATAGCTCACCGTAATTACAAGTATTATAATTCAGTAATTACAAGTATCATAATTCAGTATTACAAGATTCAGTAATTACAAGTATTATAATTCAGTATTACAAGATTCAGTAATTACAAGTATTATAATTCAGTATTACAAGATTCAGTAAGTACAAGTATTATAATTCAGTAAGTACAAGTATTATAATTCAGTATTACAAGATTCAGTAAGTACAAGTATTATAATTCAGTATTACAAGATTCAGTAAGTACAAGTATTATAATTCAGTATTACAAGATTCAGTAATTACAAGTATTATAATTCAGTATTACAAGATTCAGTAATACAAGTATTATAATTCAGTATTACAAGTATTATAATTCAGTAATTACAAGTATTATAATTCAGTATTACAAGATTCAGTAACTACAAGTATTATAATTCAGTATTACAAGATTCAGTAACTACAAGTATTATAATTCAGTATTACAAGATTCAGTTATTATATTTCAGGTTAAGATTCACTTACTGTAGCACATCTTCTAAAGTGACTTTATCAACATCATTTATATGATTTAAATTCGATGACGAG